CTGCCACCCACCACAAACCATTCTTAAACAAAAGCCTGGATGAAGCAGAGAATGTGGCAGCACCCAGTTTAGACCTAGACCCTGCTGTGGTTTCCACTACACCTGCTGCGATCCCTGCAGATGAACCTCCTGTCATCAAAGCAATGCAGACTGAGCTGCCCACAAGTGGAGAGCCTCCTGCCAACACTGGCCTGAATAAAGCAAAGGAAAAGCCAATAACCAGCCCAGAACCGCACTCTGTTGGCATTTCTCCTCCCCCTGCTCCTCTCAGCCTCCCTGCTGAGCCTCTTGCCAAAATTGTCTTTGATAAGACAGAGAAACAGCCAGTAGCTGGTCCAGAACCAGACTCTGCTGAGGTTTCCACTCCACCAGCTCCTGTGATCCCTGCAGGTGAATGTCCTGTCTCCTCTGCAGTGCAGGTTGAGCTGACCAGCAGTGCTGAACCTTCTGCCAATTTTCCCAGACATAATGGTTTGAACCTGGATGAAGCAGAGGAACAGCCAACACCCAATCCAGGACCACATTTCTTCTCCACCTACTTCTCTTACACCCACTGCTGAACCCGCTGCCAATATTGGCTTCAATAAAACTGAGGAACAGTCAACACCCAGCTCAGACCCAGACTGTGGTTTTCACTCCATCACTTCCTGTGATCCCTGCAGATGAACCTCCTATCACCTCTGTAGTGCAGGATGAGCTGATCATCACGGAGCAGGCAGTGAAGGTGAAGGAATCTTTCAAAACTGCAGCAGGCAGGAATTATTATTCATGTCGGCCTGTGTCTGAACCATCAGGACCATTCACACTGTGGTTCACTGTTACTACTGCTGTGATGAGTTCAAGCACTGATTCTCCTCCTTTGCTTTTTCAAAGGTGGTGGAACGTGGTGGAAACCTCTCCAACTGGTATGATAATGCTGGTATCTGTAATGCATTTATATCAATAAATCTTAATTGTCATCCTCCATTACTGTAAAACACACAAACTAGCACCCTTACAGTGCCTCCTTTAGGGTGTTCAAACAAGGACACCTTTGAGAGAGTGTATGTTTTCACCATCTCGTTAAAAGAAAAGAAAAAAAAATTACAAAGTTATTGGTCATCTTTCAGGAACACTAGACTGACGAAGTGCTCTAATGATTTCTACTTCATGTCATCTCAAAAGAAACTCCACGAGTGGTGTCTACAGCAAATGATCCACAGCAATACGGCTTTATGGGTTCAACAAGCCAGCTGAGTTTAAGATACATCAAAGCCAAGATCTGTGTGCTTTGCGAAACATCCATATGACAAAGGATGTTACCTTTGCAGAAGGAAACAAAATATGTCTTCAACCACCAATAACTCACCACAAATTGCTTTAACCTTTGCAGGACACAGCTGTGACTTTGTCTCATTGTATTTATGGGCATTGGAGTGTTTCCCAGACACTGAAGACATTGCCACCTTTTCTCTGGAGAACAGAGCCTCTATCAGCTCACATGCTATCTTCTTTTTTTTTTCCTGGGGAGATGATGATGTGTTTTCCTTTATGATCACTCCTTTTGCTAGCTCCACCTGAAAAGTAAAAACATGTTAAAGTTACCACAGAGAACAACCTCAAATATCTGCACTGAGAGAAAATTCTGTTTGTTGTTTGTCTTCATCAACGCTGGATGGATTGCGGTGTGAAAACTAACCCTTGTCTGCTGTGGGTGGAGGGTTTGGGTGGGGTGGAGTCACAGTGGAGGTTGGAGGTTGCAGAGAAGAGGCTTTTAGCACATGGAAAACTTTCACTTAGACTGCTAGTCCCAAAACAAACACACCTTTCTTAATATTTGTGAAAATGTTAATGTTTACACCCATTAAAGTTAATGCACCACTAGAGATGACATTACAGCGCACACATCCAGATTACATTAACATTATTTATTGATTGAACTACACTGTATCTGAATTTTAAGCTATCTGTTAATAATTAAAGTGGCATCCAGAAAGCAAGCAGAGTACAGAGAACATTGCCAGAAATATTTAATGGTTTATTTGGCAGTAAGAAATGTTTTCCAATACTTTGGTAATAAATTTAATTGTGGCAGATAATGATGCTGTTAGAGCTTCAAATGGGAGCATTTGCTTGTTCATTGCTTTCACACTTCAACTGAAAACCTTTGTTTTTGTTTTGTTTTTTTGTTTGTTTTTTACTGTTGGTCAGGTGAAATAAATGTTTTTAATTTTAAAGGTCCAGTGTGTAAGATTTAAGGGGACATACTGGCAGAAATTGAATTTAATGTAATAAGTATGTTTTTCATAGTGTATTATCTCCTGAATATTAGAATCATTGTGTTTTAGTTACCTTAGAATGAGATGTTTATATCCACATAGCGAGCGGGTCCTTGTCTATGGAGATCACCATGATGCACCGCCATGTTTCTAAAGCAGCCCAGAATGGACAAACCAAACACTGGCTCTAAATAGGGCCATTTCATTTTTGTGCTTTCACATTGGCCAGTGAAGTTAGAAGCCCATCTGTGACAAGCAGCGTCAGAAAAAACAGACCTTTTAAAAATGAAACTGCTTTATTGAGTATTTTTACAGATTTAAAGAGAAAGGGACCTCTGCAGGTAATTCAGCTATTGCTTAAATCCTCCTGAAGATCAGGATCTTAAGTTATCAGAGAAAAATGATGAGCACATATTACCAGGTGCTAGGCTAATGGCCGTTTCCGACATGCCAAACAGCGTTAGAGAAGCACTGATTTGTAATGTGAAACTGCTTTATTCTGTGTTTTTAACAGTTTAAATTACTGAGTCCGTTGGTTTTGGAGGGGTGACTCATGGTGAAACCTCCTGAATGTCTGCATCAGAAATAAGGTGAGCACACATTCAGTTTTTTGAGAAAAAAGGTGAGCACACATAGCTGTCACTGGGTGAGGGTCCTGTCTATGATCTGCCAAACAGCATAAAAACGTGAAACTGCTTTATTCTGTAATTTTTTTACCGGTTTTAATCACCTGGTCAACAGGAGAGACCTCTGCAGATAATTTGGCTCCCAGTTAAAAAAACCTATTGAACAACTAAAAAGTTTCAGCTGGTTACCATCTGTAGTCCTCACCACCAGACACCACTTAAACTACTTAAATCTTACATACCGTTCCTGTAACACATCTCTTTGGGCTATTGTAACTTGCATCAGCCATGTTTTAAATGATCAAAATCTGGCATTTTATTTTATCATTTGCAATCTACATAGCCCTAGCTAAAAGTTTAGCTATGCATATACACACTCTTTTGATCACTCACTTTCCTCAAATCCTTCATCTCGTAGAGAAAGCAGGGTAACTCGAAAAACACACACACACACTTAAACTGTATAAATTTCAGTATTTCAGCAAATGCATGATTCAGTATAATCTACAAATTGTCTCTCAGTTGTTACAATAACAGCCAAACTGTTTTCTATTATCATTTTTATGCAGCAGTTAAAGCCACCTCCGCACTGTAAGCAAGCTAAGGTCCTTTTCTCATATAAGCCTCTCAGGGCAGACCAGTCCCTTATAGTATTAAAAGCTTTATGTGTTAAAAGTTTATGTGTTCACTAAATGTATATTTTGATTATAAGAAAATTGAGGTCTTTATTTTGGAGTCTGAGCTGTCAACATGGCGACAATATTTTGATGGCAAATCCAACGAAGTGCTCTTACAGATGTACCAGTTTGTGGTAATGTGGAATTTTGTGGTTGTCTTGACAACCTTAATTTGACCAAGAGTGACATTCAGATGTTTGTTTAATATGAATACCTGACAAATTTTCAACTTCAATAAGAGACAGGCATGTCGGTCTGGCATTTTCTTTCGTCAGCTCTCTCAGCCTGTGGTTTGCTCTGCAGAGCTTCATAAGAAATTCTGATTTGACTTTGTCCCCCATGTCAACGTCTCTCTCTCTCTCTCTCTCTCTCTCTCTCTCTCTGTAGCCTGCAAACAAACAGAGTTAAAATGAAAATAACAACTGTCAAATAACAGTTCTGGGTGAAACACAGAAAACAGATCACTTCTGTCCATAAAGAATGTATGTCCATTAATATTTATGCTTAAAAGAACATGTATTTTTGTGTGAGGAATCACTCTAGATCTGACATTGAACAAAAAATATTCACATAAAACTCAGTGCGTAAGGAAAAGCCTGGAAATTGGAATCATACTGAGAGATAGTTATTTTCAGTTAGATTAGTTTGGGCCTCATAACATAATAATTATCGGACTGTGAACTAACCATATACTGATCATATTAAAAGTCACTATATCAAATAGCTAACGAGGCATGTGACAGATGATGCAACTTCATTAAAAAAGAGAGTATCAGAATTTTCTGATTTCCTTCCAAAAAGTTGATTCTAATCAAAATCTTATATTAATAGGAGAAAAAAGTGTCTGAGTCTAGTCAAAAACGTTGGTTTATATTACGTGTTGTTATGTCGTGCGTAAGTAAAAAAATACATAAATGTTAACAAAACCTTTAAATTCTCAAATATCACTCAGCATGGGTCCGTCTATAATCAAAAGAACATGCAAGAGGATTGGCTTTAAGCCAGTCTGTGTGGAAGCTCTCACTGACAATGTGTCACAAAAAAGATACTGCCAAAGTCGTTTATTTAAAACATTTTGTTGGCCTAAAGAAATGTTTGTTTGTTTTAGATAAATCATTTTGAGTATTCATATGAATTATACCGTTATTTTTGCAAATTAAGCTAACAGCCTACTGTAGGAATCTAGTGCTTACAACAAGGTTATATTAAAAAAATATATATATTTTTCATGTTAATGGCTAGTGGTGGTATCGACACATCTCTGTAGAATCCTGACCGGATGTTGATACTTTGTTGTACGGAAGTGATGCGACATTTAATGGTCCTATGGAGCGCCCACCAACTACAGACGTTTCAAACTCGGTAAATTCAGTCACTCATTTTGAACGAAGCTGTCACAATGAACGTCGTATACTTTCTCTTTAGTCAGAATTTTTTTAAATTTAGATGGCAATGCCATGACATTGACAGTGACATGATTACTGACTTTAGTGCAGCAGTGGTGCAATTATGAGGATAAAAATTGCAATTCTGCAGAATTAATCACTTTTATCCTTAGCTGACGACACGACCTTTGAAATACACTTAGTTTAGTCACCATAACATCACAAAAACTCGATACCACACAAAACGGTGGTATTCCCAGCAATATTTTCCAGATGTGTTGATTATAATGTGCGCTCAGTGAGTATGTGTATTGTCTGACTGTTCGTGAAGGCATCGCAAGGTAAACGGTAGCAATGTGGCTCGGTGGTTGAACGGGAGGAAGAGGATTGATCCACATGATTGGATACATCGACCTACGTTTACCGTAATTTGAAATTAATTCCCCTTTGACTGATGGAGTTTGCAAATGTAGCTGCGAAGGCTATGACATGTTTTGACAGCTCGGCTTGCTTGTAAGCTAACGTGGCTAGCTAACGTAGACTAGCTAGCTCGCGAACAGCTTTTTAATGGTAACACGAACAACATTAGCTGAGGTAGGCAGCTCACCTCTCTGTCTAATGTCACTTCTGTAATTGGCATTTTTAGTAATTTTACTGTACTATGGTCTTCAGAAGACAACAGTTTCTTAGCGCTAGTTCGTGTTAATGTAATTTAACGTTAGCTAACGTTGCAATAGGAAATGCCCTAAAGTATAAGGTTTTGGGACAGTTAGCTACCGTTAGTTAATAATATGTAGAAGAGATGACATTTTACCAAACAGACTCAGTGTCAAACGGCACAGCCATTTCTCAGTAGCATTCATAAAACTGACTAGCTTGAATTGTTTGTGCTGTTTTCCCGTATGTGTAACGTAAACATTAGAACTTTTGTGCTTAGAAAAACATTCATGCTAAAGCGTTACCAGCATTTGTAACGGTAAACATTAACACATTTTTAAGTTCAGTTGTCTTCGAGTGTTGGCCCTATATGTAACAGACCTGTTTATCCAGTATGTATGGATACTAGTAGTTCCAGTCTGGCATGAATGTTGCTGTATGCTTTTGTTTACATCCTGATCACATGGGCCCTTTAAAGTCTTGCAAATATGCACTGCTTACTGTAGCCTACAGCTGTGTAACATTAGCTGCTTGATTTGAATAACTTGTAAATAAATTTAATCAAAGTGAGGTGTCATGTCCTGATGTTCCACTGAGCACAACTCACAGCCTGCATGTTGCTTGCATCATGAGGAAAGGTCATTAATAGAAACAGGTATTTTTCCATTGTGCTAAAGCAGTGGTACTAAGCTACCTTTTGCTAATAGGGCGGTTGTGGCAGATGTAGATTGGCAGTGTCACCACCTATCACATTAATGCCAGGTGTTTGCTAAGTAAGACAGTAGTCCACCTATGGTAGGACGCCATGTACCTGTCAATATGCTTTAAAAGCTACAACTTAGATCAATAAGCTTTACTTTAACTCTCTATAAGATTTGTCGTCTGGAGGTTGTCCTGTTAGTAGTACAAGGATTTGTTGATTGAATTATTTTTGGACATGGATGTGTCTCTATATTTTGTAAAGGTTTTATATACATTAAGCTACTAATCTTGATGGAACACATTCCTCCCCTTTAATCTAAAATATATAAGCATTCAGAATTATGTTGAGTTGTACTCTCTGGTGCCTCAGTCATAACTGCTGTCTTGGTGTTCTCACTTATGTTTGTCTTTGCCTAACCTACAGGTCATGCATGCAGCCGAGCCTCTAGCCCACGCTTTGTACACCCCCGGCCCTTGAGCCAGTGCCCTTCCAGTAGGTGGAGGCTCTTCCTCCCTCTAGCCTCTGTTTCTCCCCACTGCCCCCATCAGCCCCAGAGTTCCCTATGTTAACCCTCTTGAGCATGTTTTACTATATCTGTCTGCGGCGACGCTCCAGGAGTGGGACTCGAGGCGAGGCCCTGACCAGTCGGCGGGCTGTGGAGTCCGGCCAGCGGGCAGTGTTGCCAGTGAGTGTGGAGGTGGAGCAGTATGCCAAGGAGGTTCTGGACTTCAGCTCCCACTATGGCAGCGAGAATAGCATGTCCTACACCATGTGGAACCTGGCTGGGGTACCAAACGTCTACCCCAGCTCAGGGGACTTCACCCAGACGGCTGTATTCAGAGCTTATGGGACGTGGTGGGAACAATGTGCCAGTGCTCCGCCACCTTTCCGCCGCACCCCTAAAGGATTCCACAGCCAGGATTATATTGAACTAGGCTTTGAGGAGCCTGTCTACCCTACAGCAGTGGAAGTGCTTGAGACTTATTACCCTGGAGCCATCGTCCAGATTTTAGCATGCTCTCACAACCCCTTCTCCCAGAACCCACCTACTGATGTCAGGTAAAGACAACCATCTGTCCAGGAAACCGTCATCAGTCATTCTCAGTGTGCCAAAAAAATGTTTAGATAATTAACACTAATAAGAAAACCATGCAATACCAGCAGGTACACATGACTTAGAACCCAGTCTTCTAGTATTTGGAATGAACCCTGGAGATATTACTGACTTTATTTGAATTATTTTGTGTTTTTTACTTGTATTATTATGCTCTTACTAATCGACCTGGCATTTGCAGTATTTATTAAAGTTGGCTTTCCTTTATTATTCCCCTTTGTTTATAAAAACATGCCATTGGATTGTTATAGAGAGTCCTCCATAAATAATGTTTATGGCTACTTTAAGAAATTGTTCAACTCCTACAGCATCCTAGCAGAGCAGCACTCAAGTTTCTGCTAACAGTGAAACCAAAAGGCACAAATGTAAGCCTGAAGTTTTAGTGGTAATAGTCTTAAGAGAAACTGTAAGCAGGGTAATATATAATGTTGTATTTGATTGATGAACTGACTGATATGATTAAGCACCTGTTAAACCTGATAAAACAGGGAACTTGTACATATGGTAGTTACTTTTGTAGAACCAACCTCATCAATTCAGTATTAGCTATGAACCAGAAGTGAACTTAAGCTGACTTTTTTACTCTGGCAGAGACACACTCTGTAATAAGCCTTAAGGAGCATATTTATGCACAACACTGAAATGACACTGTGAGCCAAATTTCAATTCATCCCAATTTGTCATTTATGTTTTTTTGGGCACAGCTGTATTATTAATGAAAAATGATTTATATTTTAATATGTTTTTGGCAGTTAACTCCTATCTCTTTTTTTTATCAACCAGCATACACCAGTATTTGTTGGACAGTCATAAAGTTTACAGTGAACTGGAATTTCTCTAGTTCCTTGTCTGATTCATAAAAAGAAAGATGATAAACAAGTCTCTTTTTGAAAAATTGCTTCTTTAGGCATGTTTGTCTGCATACAGGGGGCTGAGTAGGAATACAAGGTCAGCATCCTACATGAAAATTCATTTTCAAATGTTATTGGCTGGCCTGGTGTCCTTGGAGAGAGCCTCCATAAGAGTACCAAAAGAGAAATGGATTTCTAACCAGTGTCAAAATGAACATAATGAGACCTTTACCTGTTGCCAAAAACAAAAATCCGACAGTCCATTACAATGCTTTCACACCCAACCTGTTTGGTTCAGTTCAAACAAACTCATGTCCGTTTGCCTGGTTAATACAGTTGATTTGGGCTGGTGCGAAAGCTGTCAGTAGAACTCTTCCTCTGACTAAACAACAGAATTGAGACAGCTTGAAAGGGTAGGTCTCAGGTGCGGTTCCTTTGCGGTGTGAAAGCCAATAAACTAACCACAGGACTTCATGACAACAGATATGTGATTTTAGCATGATTTCAAAAGCTAAGCTAATATAAAAACCATCTGCTGATGATTAAATTTGCTCATAAAGCAATATTATAAATTATATGAATAAGAACATGTATATAACTATTATGTGCAAATCATTTGGTAACCATGGTAACACATATGTGCATCAGGATGGGTATTTTCCCTGATTAAAAAGCTGTTAAAACTGCTGTGCTTATATTCGACTCAGTGTCCTTTGTCAGTGCATTAAGTCCATTAAAAAGAATCTAACAGTGATCTCACAGTAATAAACCCCGAATCATCACTGTACAAGACGCCTCGTTTTCATCCTGTCTCTACCTGTATATCATTATTTAATTTGCAGTCTAATAATGCTTATATTAAGTTATTTCTTTGTGAGCTCCTTGTGACACCAGCAAGCAGAAATATGCACATCAGAAACATTAAAGTGCTGCATAAACGTCCTGATGATGCAGGATGACAGTTGCCATAACTGTCTAGTCAACGACATGTCAGTCGCCACAACTACATATTTACCCCTCTTGGTTCTTTTGTAAAAGGTCAGTGTGAACAATAAACCTGATCAGACGATGTATCATATTTTTTTTTCCTTGGTCACGACTAAATGAACTGAACTAGAGATGTGAAAGCCCCCAAGGAATCCTACTTTATAATCATACTGTAATTATGGTATAACTCATATCCTCTGCAAGGCTATGGTGTGGACAGCAGGAGGGAACTAAAATAGTTAATCACTGCACATCAATCGTCCTTTACGAGTCTTTGCTGAAGATGTGAGACTGAAGTCAGGGAGTGCAATCCTGAAGGATCATGAATGTGGTCAGGTGTTACAAGACATATAAAGCACCATAGTGCCATTGCAGAGTCAAATAAATGACTGCACAGATCCAGTGGATGGTGTGCACAGTGCTACAGGTAGACTGGAGCCCACAAATCAACACCGTGTTACAGGTCTATTTTCAGGGGGGATAAAAAACTGTGATCAAAGATACCCACCTATGGCTTTACAGTACAATTCTATGTTTGTTCCAGGTGGGAGGTGCTGTGGTCAGGAGAGCCCACCAAGATGCTGACCCCCCAGGCACGTCAGTTTTCCCCCACCATCAAGCATATCAACTTCCCCACTAACCTGCTGCGTCTGGAGGTCAACAGCTCTCTGCTGGACTACTACACTGAGCTGGATGCTGTCATCCTGAGAGGGGTAAAAGAGAGGCCCATGCTGGCCCTCTATAAGATGCCTGTCATTGACATTAATGACCTGAGTGACAGCGAGGAGGAGCTGTCTGATGTTGGAGGTCCATTCAGACAAGGAGATAACAAGCACCAGAGGACAGGCAATGGCTACTTTGACAGACTGCCCTATGAGGTGATTACAGATGTTAACGATGTGTACACTCAATCACTCAGAGTAGATACACACAGAATTCAATTTTTGTTTTTCAGACGTGATTCTTTAACTGAACAGTTTTCCTCTAAACATACAAGTTTACATTTAGTGTTACTTATGCGACACATTAATACTTTTCTTTCCTTAAAAAATATTTGTAAAGCCGGTGCTTTAAGTGTTTTGAGTTCCTCATTCTTATCATCCATGTTTACCACTTTGCAGTCTTCTTCTTCACTGCCCATGTGCATTGCAGCCTTTCTTGACATATTATTGCCACCTGAAGATCAGCGGAATAGTGCGAAACCATTGGCAGGGCTGTGTATCATGGACCCTGTGAACGTGTGTATATGAATGCACATGCAAATAGGGACCTACTCATAAAAACACAGCTCCACAGTGCTACTAGAGGTCAAAAGCTCCACAGGATACCTTAAAGCCAGTGCCAGTAAATCTTGGGTGTCTGATTGCTTTTCACATTTAAGCATGAAAAGAAGTAACTTGAATTTTGTCGCATGATTTTAGAAATATTACAAATTTACAGATGTCAGTAAACTGCACAACCTTCCAGTCAGGGGCTTTCCCGTTGCGCGTGCTTAAATTTGGTTGCCTACAACTCACAGTTTTTCATTTTATTATTATTATTAATAGTAGTAGTAGTATTAGGTGTACTGTAAGCCTAAAACTAACAATATTTTTTGTAATTATTACTGAATCTGTTGAATATCTCCACCAGGTATAAGCTTAAAGGCAATCATGTGTCTGGTTGTGTGTTTGCGTGCTTGAGTGAGTGAGTGAGTGTATCTGTCTGTCCGCGGCTAATCTCACCAACTATTGAACCAATCAGCCCCATAATTTGTGAGCACATTTATGACTGTATGCTTAAGGACCTCTCATGGTTGCAGTGATTTACAGTTGTTCAAAACCCTAATTTATTAACTGCTCTGTTTTATACCCTCATTGGCTGCTGACTCCTCTTAACTAGCTGATAGGGGCCCCAAGTGATGAACAAAATCAAATAGCAAAAGCATAGAGCAAGAAAGGTTTCTAGCAGTCAGCTTGGCCAAAAACAATAAGCCTTACCGCCTGTTGTAGGCAACGTTTGGCCTTCGTCATGGCTTGAAGACTCACATCCATTGAAAAGTTTGGTCTCATTTTGAACAGGAGCCTTGGCAGATTAATTCCATACCTGATATGATATAATCCACTGAAGTTAGGCAGTTATCTCTGTCACCATTTTGACTGTAAGGGATCCAAGAGGGACAATTTGAGCATGTGCAGCTGCGTGGTGTATTTTGCTTGAGTGGCAGTGTTTAGCTCCAGGGGCCGCCTAGCGGAGATCTTTACGCTATGAGTGCACGTTTCTAGTTTTTTTAGTTATTTTTTTAGTTAGTTATTTTAAAGTCAATGTAATGTCATTAGGTAGCAGCCCAATGTGACATCTTCCAATTTCTTGTTTTGTCTGATCAACAGTCCAAAATCCTAACATGAAATCCTCACATTTAAGAAGCATGAGCCAGAGAATGTTTGTCACTTTTGCATTATAAATTACTTTTAATCAACTAATCATTTACTTGACTGTTTTAGCAGTAAGACACTGCAGCACATTTACATTTCATCTGCCTGACATAGAGAACTCAAGTAGAAAAGTATTGCCTCTTTTTGTCACCTTATCCAACGAAATAATTCATATAATTATCTGTCACAATATTACATAGATTCTTTTAAAATGACTGCTGATCATAACTTACAATAATCTCCAAGGTCATCAGCAACACCTTGCCCTAAAATGATTACATGTGCCCCGGAGTGTAAATGCACACTGTAATAACAAGTATTCCACACAAACACACACACGAGCATTGTGGCTTGGACTCATTCTGACACTTGATCTTGTGTGCACTCACGGACACAGAGTCATTTTCATGCCATACAGACGTATCATGTTGTCTATAGCGAGCTTCAAAACACCGGCAGTACTCTTGATATTCGTTCTCTTATCTCCTCTCCAAACCACTGCCATTAACAGCAGTCTTCACAACCGCCGTGTGTTTGTTTCAGAAACACAATATAGCTATTATCTGTCAGCTGATACCCGCTTGAACACCGTGTATTGTTAATTCACTGCAACACACACTCACACGAGCACAGTCATTCTTTCTCTTTGAGAGGCACACGAACACAGTGCAAAACAAGCCGGCTCACCTCTCCACTGATCCTGCTATCAGTGCTTTGTGTCCCAGATAAACACTATTTAGATCTGCCTGACAGAGGGGACGCAATTAACATTCTCCAGACTACTCTGTTATTCTCTGTTCTCCACTACATTCTACTACTCTTCAGTGTTCTGTATTATACTTTGCTTTCTGCTATGTTCTCCTACCAGATCTAACAATCCTCTGTTTTCTCTCCTGTTTCTTTTTGTCTCCCTTCCCTCATCTAACCCCTTCCTTTCTTTTCTCCTACCCAATCTCCCCATCTTCCATCCACAGCTCATCCAGCTGATACTGAGCCACCTGACCCTGCCAGACCTCTGCCGTCTGGCCCAGAGCTGTAAGCTGCTGCACCAGCACTGCTGCGACCCACTGCAGTACACCCAGCTGAGTCTGCAGCCCTACTGGAGCCGGCTGAATGACGCCTCCTTAGGACACCTGCAGAGCCGCTGCACCCTCCTCCAGAGGCTCAACCTGTCCTGGACCGGCAACCGCGGTGCTCTCACCCTGACCGGCTTCAGCAGGTCAGACTGTCAGCGAGCCACAAGTGCTAGAAGACAAGGATGTGACCTTGGAAAACTAGCAAATACTAACAAGCATTTGTTTCATGGGGTGAAATGCTGAGACAAAGGAAACTGATTAAAACCTTTTCTAGGTATTAGGTTGCTGTTGTGGGATGAATTTATTCTTCTCATGTCTTTCCCTCTCCTTCCATTCTCCCCCTCAGCTTCATGAAGGCCTGTGGTCTCAGCCTGGCCTGCCTGGAGCTGTCTTGCTGCCACTTCTTGAACGAGGCCTGTCTGGAGGTCATCTCTCAGACTTGTCCCAGGCTGCAGGAGCTCAACCTGTCCTCCTGCGACCGCCTCCACCCACAGGCCTTCACACACATCTCCAAATTAACAGGCCTCCGTAGGCTGGTGCTCTACCGGACCAAGATAGAGGTAGGCACGGTCAACACTGTATCTGGGCAACCACAATCAGAATGACATTTTCACCTGCGCACTTACATCTGTCCTGTCCAAATACAGCAGGTAGACTGGTTAATGATATGTTTGTATTTCAAATGGCTGCCCTGGCTGTTTGTAATATTGGAATATAAGAGTTGCGTAGTTACCTTGTAGACATGTAAGGCTACACTTCTACACCTTTTCAGTATTAAATATGACTTAATATAGAGGGAATATCATGTCTAGAAGTAATAGTTGGATTCTGTTAACTTTGAAGAAGTTACATTTACTGTCATGTCAGATTTTCACAAGTCATTGAATTATTAGAATATATTGAAATAAAGAGATGTGTAATTCACAGCAGGAAAGGCTCAGGCTTTCTGATCAATTTTATGAAATATTTGGGAATTCTGTAAGCAGGTCAGTTAACATTGATAACGCAGTTGTAATGGATTTTCAAAATGAACATTGTACTGAGCTTTTATAGGACATCTAGTCTTTGTTGGCTTGAAATTAAGTTTTGCAGTTCATTTTAGAGCATGTAAGCAGCAGTTGACATATGTTTTCATGACATTAAGCAAACTACATCTGCTGATGAAGACTGTGTTATATGGTTGGAAGCTCTACGCTGAGAGTCAGTAAGTCAGTTAGTATAAATGGTAGTTTACAGTACAGATACAGTACATTTCCTGTGAACCGTATCTCTGTCTTCTGTCGCAACTATGTTGTAAGCTGGTCATGAGCACAAGATGCCAAAATCATCACAAGTCAGTATTAAAGATCAGATGCTAGGCTAATTAGCATACAGATGGATAAATCACATCTCTTAGCTAATTACAAAGCAGAAAAAAGGCCTTGGTGAGTATTCATGTTACCAACAGCAAAAAGACTGACATGCCTGGACCTCAGCATGTTCACTTGACATTAACATGAGCATCAAAACATGAGCTGTTTTGTGGTCACTCCTTATTACCCCACTGCTTCATGTTTTTTGCGTTCTCAATTCAGGGCAGTTCCTGTTATGAATTTTGTTTTGCTGCAGTGGTAATTGTTTTCTCTCTTGTTTGCAGACATTCTGCAGAGTAAATTTATCTAGTGCTGGCAGAGGAGATGATTGTGTCTTTGGAACTGTTTGAAACAAAACTATATAGTGCTGCTTCTGCTACAGGAGGTAGCTCGCATGATTTCCGGTGTACCAAGAAACTACAGTATGTCTACAGTAAAACACAGTAAGCCCAGTCTTAGTGGACCAGTTTTAGCTTTTCACCCTTTGCACCCAAGTCATACCTACTCACACCTCCTTGTCACAGGTTGCATACAGTAGGTCTATAAGCTGTGATTAGTTCAACCAAAGAGTGATTTCCCTTTTTTAGATTGTTTCATTTTGATGGTTTTTAGAGGCCTGAAGAGGAAAAACAAAGATTTAATCAAAAGAAAAGTGAATCATCTCAAGGCCCTTCAGACTTATTTTTTGACCTCTTGGGTGGTCCCAGTCCACAAGTTTGAAATAGGAGCATAAGCTGCTGGCTGCAGTTTGTTCTGTACATACTGAATAGCTTCATTTATAAGAAAATAAATGTATTGTAAAGGTTTAACCTCAGTTTGATAAAGCTCTCAGAAGCCCTGCCCTTAATGTCAAGCTAATGGTCTCCACAAGCTGCTGATTTGATGGTATGCGTTTTCGGTTGGATGTAGCTCATTCTATGTTGTTGTCTTCTGAGATGAACTGAGTCAACTCTGAGCCCAGGGGATCTTAAAGACCCACACTGCATGTGTTCAGGTTCAGGCCTGTCTGACGTGTAAAACCACTGTATTGTGTTTTGGTGTTACACCTCAGCGTTTCTCCAGTGTTTGTCATGTTTCAGAGCGGCGTCGTGGGCAGAAGGCAGTGTAGAGTTTCTGCGGTGGAGCCAGGCAGCGTGCTGCAGGTTGTTTATACCCAGGCAGACAGAGCAAGCTGTGTGTCTGTTTGAGACCCTGACATCTCAGCTGTCATTACCCTGTCACTGCTCTAATTAAATGGCTAGCTCGCCAGAGAGAGGCGTTTATAAAGATGCCAGCGACAGACTCGAGCACACACACCAAACACACACACACACACACACTAAAGGCTTTCACTTTCATGTCTGACACTTTCTCCTGCCACTGAGGTACATGTGTTGGCAGTTGCAGTGTTGAATTCCCATAACTCTATCCATGCTGAAGAGCCACTGGAGAGGTCTCTGTCCTCAGTATTCTTGACTTTGTAAGGAGACATAAAAACTAGCTGTTGAGCTGTATTAAATTCCCTTAAATACAATAAGTATTACCTGAGTGCCCCAGGCAGCAGACAGGAAATCACTTAGGAGGAACTTTGGATGACATGACTGGACACGTTTCCATTATTTAAGTGTATGTTGTTGTTTTAATATATAGCTTTTAGATTTACACTCAGATAAAATGTCTGGGGTTTAGTTTGTTGCAGAACATGTTGCTCCAATACAGCACTTATTTGAATCAAGTTTCCTTTTTTCCGTCTTTTCTGTGTTTTGTCCTCTTTTGTTTCCTTATTTGTTGTGATGCAAGGGTCTAATGACGCTTTTTCATTGGCACTTTTGGCCATGCTGGGTCAAACCATGCTGCGTTGATTTATGTTTCCATTACCAGTTTAAACATGCAAGTTTTTCTGCCCTAGATGGACCATCTCAGGACAGGGTGTCTGCAGGTTCTACAGTCTTACAAATGTCTTCAATTCTAAAAAGTCATGAAATAGACTTACATTTGATTTTGTCAGGTCTTGATTGTCACAAAAATGAATATTATTTGTTTTATCTATTTTTCAAAATGAGTCAAGCTCTTCTGCTTGATGGTGTTAAAAATCTTAAAGCCTACAACCGAACCAAATACTGTCTTTTTACTGTATACTTGCACTCACCTGTTGTAGATTAACCTAACTAACCTAAGCATATTACTGCATAAAACCCCCCTCTGCACAGTCCTACAAAAACAGTACCTACCTTTATACTTACCTCTAATTCTTTCAAAATGATCTTGAAAAGGTCTTAAAAAGCATTAAATGTAAGTGTCTGACACATGTAGACACCCTGCAGGAGTCGGGTCAAAGGGCGCCCAACCGCCTTCAAGCAGGTTGTGGTGATGTCAGATGGACTTTGTCATCATTCAGTGTTGATTTTAGATCCATTCAGTCATTCCATTTCCATTTTTCAAGCAATAAACAGTAGACATCAAGCAAAATCGTAACAGCAGGCTGAAAATCCATGATTGTAAGTAGCTGGTTACTAACAGCTCATGCACAGTGCGATAGTAAACAACACTAAAGAGGGCGCTTTTAGGTGTCATAACTCAAGACAAGCGCATCATCATTTAAAGACACACCTTCAAACAGATAGCTCTGCTGTATGGAGATGCAAATCTTAAATTCAAAATGGGTCAAGCCAAGGCAGCACAGGCATATGGAAAAGTGGTATTGATGCCCCTCCCACTGTCTTGGAGGACATTCTGGCCAACCTCCTCAGGTGGTGGGCTGACATCGGAGGGTTGTGAGCTTAATTAAGCTCACCTGGGCGTTACAGGCTATAAAATCTGACCAATGTGTTGCCTCTGTCTCTCCCTTCCTACAGCCGACATCCACCCTGCATCATCCTCCTTTGTGTTTGTCCCCTCAGCACCTCCACAGCACATATGCCACACATCTCTGCATTGCTTGCATTAGTGTTATTGCTGATTTACACACTCCATTGTTCATCTGAGTTAACCTTAGTGTAATAAATTCTTTATTTTATGTAAAACTCTTGTGTGGAGTCCCTCCATGTCACATTCCCTGAACCAGTTTGTGACATTTATTACAAATCCAAACTGGAATGGATAAAAATTTTTGAAACAAAAATATAATACAGTACTGTTGTGTCTTTCTCCTTGTTGTCTCCGCAGCAAACGGCTATTCTGAGCATCTTGACTTTCTGCATAGAGCTGAGACACCTCAACCTAGGAAGCTGTGTGAGGGTGAGAATGTACACACACACACACACACACACACACACACACACACACACAAACACAAACACACACAGGAAGAAGTCCAAATAAAACACAATCTGTTAACTACACAACCCACCATGTGGCCTTGTTGGATAGCAGCTTGTCCAAAAGATGGCAGAGACATCAGTAGTGTAGCAATAATTGAGCTGCTAACAATAAACTGGTTGGGTGTTAAATCCATAAAGGGCAGTGATAATGAGACTGAACACAACTGAGTGAATACTTTATTGTCTATCTTTGATTTCAGCCTCTCTTCACAGTCCTTAAACATATTTCTCTCATTACTGACTGTCTAATGTCAGCCTTACACCAAATGACTTTTCAAGCAATTTCACTGTCACAGACTTATTTCCAATGTCAGAATAAAATTATGAAAGTTTGGCATTCCCGTCATCTCAATGGTTTGGTGAAAGGTGGTCATTAAACTCAGTGTGAGCTGTTTTTTAGTCTTTTCCTGTCTTGATGTACCGGCAAAATCAAACGTGTTCAATGTTGTAAGTTTTTAGTCTTGGCTCATGCAGATACTGAAATTCAATGACATGAACATTGTCATCGACTAACAGCTGTGCTCTCTCAAGTGCCAAACAAGAAGCAGCAAACCAGGTAGATATTAAACATGGAGGGGATTCCAGGGGGGTGCAAGAAAGTCTCTGTTTTCCTGTGGAGAAGCAGGAGAAACTGGTGGAGTTGTGGAGTGAACAAGATTTTGTGTTTAATTTGGCATGTATCTGATCCACCAAACGGCACTTATTTTATGTAGAAATCTTAATTTTTGAAGCAGCTCGACTCACATTTCCACAGTCTCCTCCCACTAAAATAGCAAACAGCTAACCAATGGAGGCTGGTGGGGCGACACAATCCAAAATGTAAAGTTTGTACGTAAATACAGTTTATCTTCATAGATTATATTGATGTCGAATTGACAAGAATATCGCCGACATATGACACCTTTTATCTTGTGTCTCCAGAGCCGTGGGTTTTTACGGACACATTAGGAAATGTTAATATGTCCTACTTCTTAAAGGGAGTTTGGCGTAATATTTTCCACAAGGAGCAGGGTGGGAAATAATCTCAAAAGGAATCTAGTTGTATTCTTGCAAATAGTGACCCATAGATTTTGCATACTCTTATAGTGTGTGACTAAAAACTCAGGTTGTCTTTAGATGTGAGAGGTTGTCAGAATTGAGTCTTTAAAAGTCTTTTCAAAGTCTGCTAGTGTGTGGTCGGCATAATATGCACTCACCTGGTCTCAGACTGACTGAGTGACTCAGTAACTCACACACCCATTTTGTCACGAGCTGTTTTTCCATCCAGTTGATGGATACTTGATGCAGAATTTCAAACTATGATGTAGGTAGTGAGAAAAGGTGAAAAGCAATTCAAAACTTCAGCAGTTTCCTCGAGTCCTCATTGGTGATGAAGCTATGCAGAACTTAACAATGGAAATGCATAACAACAGCAACTCTTTCAGCCAAAAGTTGTAATATCCGTCCACTTCTAACTCAGAGGAATGTTCTACATGCTGTCATTACTATGGATAAGGTGTCTGCACTGGCTATACGGCTGTTAAATTGTGTTTCTTTGCTTTCATCACTGGATGAAAGGATGAAATATGGCCAACATTAACTGACACCAAAGAACAATAACAGCTCCGCAAACACAAATCAGTTCTTCTCTCTGGTCAAGGTGTTCTCAGTCGGTGCTTTGTTCTCTCTTGTGGAAGTCAGGTTGTGTCCCTCAAACCAGGCGATGCAGCTAATCAGCTTTTCAATATCGCTACATTTCAAACGTTTCCTCAAAATACACAAGACAAGACAACTTATTACCTCGTTTCTTCTGACAGCATCATTTTCTCACTCCTGTAGGATATCCTGAAGGCAATTTAATGAATTCTTTGACTGTTTGACCTGCTGCGGAGGAAGAGCATTTTATGGTCACAGAATTATTGCCTCTTGATAACGTTGCTTATGACAGCCAGACATAGTAACCGTTTACAAATCATATCCTTACTACCAGCTCAGTGGCCTAGCAGTAGAGTGTCTGCCCTGAGAATGGGCCAGGTCATACCAAGACTATAAAAATGCGCTATCTCTGAACCAATTGCAACATTTGAGGAGGCTGCAGCAGAGTTTCATATTTGAGGCTTAATTTTAAAGCTGATGTGGAGTCTCCAAAGGCTCTCCATGAAGCACCAAACAGTCTGTTGCTCTGCAAATGTGTCACATGATGGAGAGAGTGTGAATACTTAACTGCTGCCTGTCTCCACTGCAGATTGAGGACTATGATGTTGTGGCCAGTATGCTAGCCGCTCGCTGTCGCTCACTCTGCTCGCTGGACCTGTGGCGCTGCAGAAACCTGACTGATCGAGGCCTGGCTGAGCTTGTCTCTGGCTGCAGGTAGGTAGTACCAATGGGTTCAGTGCTGTAAACACTGTTTGTCTTGTTTCATTTTCTTGCTTTGACTGTGCTGGAACTGTATTGTCCTCCTTCTTAGTGCTGTAAAGCAGTATAGCAGATGAAATGTGTCACTACACAATATAAATATAGTGTACAGACCAGTAAAGGCTACCAATATTCTCAGTGATTACCTTGTGCTTGTTAAATCTCATAGGAGCTATTTTAATTTTTTAAAGGCAACACATATAATCTTACTAAGCACCATTTATTTAGATTGCACTCTATACAGTTAACACATTGTAAACACAAACAACTCAATATGGCAGCTGTAGACCACAGAGGCAAAGCAGAGCTCATCTGTTTTAAGCGAGTGTCTGAATTTGTGGACTCCAGTGCTCTCCTGCCTGGTATGTGTTTGCTCAGGATGCTGGAGGAGTTGGACCTGGGCTGGTGTCCCACACTGCAGAGCAGCACCAGATGTTTCCAGCACCTCGCCCGCAGCCTGCCCAGCCTACGCAAACTCTTTCTCACAGCCAACCGCACTGTCTGCGACTCAGACGTAGAGGAGCTGGCTGCCTGCTGCCCCTCGCTGCAGCACCTCGACATACTGGGTAACCTCTTACCTTACACATGTGGATATATCTTCATAATGGGACTGCACCTGATGATTATTCTTTTATTGATTTATCTAACAATCATTTTCCCTTTAATCAACTAACCTAATGACTAATTATTGATTATTCTAAAGATTATTATTTTATTAATTTATTTTTTTTCTTTTTTTCTTAAAAGATTATTTTTTGGGGCTTTTTGCCTTTAATGGACAGGACAGTGTGAAATTAGGAGAGAGAGAGAGAGAGAGAGAGAGAGAGAGAGAGAGAGAGTGGGGAGACAACTCACCACCGCTGCAGCAAGGCATCGCCTCTGTACATGGGGCACTTGCACAGCTACCGATGCCACTGAAGATTGTTTTATTTATTGATTAATCCTACAATTATTTTGTCAGTTAATCATCTAACCTAATGACTAATTTATTGATTAGTCTAATGATTATTTTTTTATTACTCTATTAATTCAACACCTATATTACCCAAAAGTAAATAACAAAAACATGTCTCATAAATATTTAAATATTTTATTCAATCATCTTCTCTTGAAAATAATCACGATGGCAGCATATTTTAAAATTACTCCTATTTCTACGTCACTATTGTGTTATGATAATAATAATAATAATAATAGGCGCTATATGTCAGATACCTTATCAGAAAGTACTGGACCTCAAATTTAAAAGCATTGCTGTAACACATACATTAATTTAATAACTGTATATCACAGCAGTCCTTTCCGTGATCTAGAGAATCAGTATTTTTTCTTAAGTACTTGACTTGGCATGGTTATGACATGGATTTATTTAATCACTGGAGTAATATGCATTTAAGATAATTACTGGCAAATGTATTTTTGCATCAGTGTTGGGCGAGGAAAATAACAAACGATTTACAGACTCTAACAGCGCACTGTAATGTTAGCCGTTTTCTTGCTCGTGTATGCCGCTGAAGTACACAGAAAATATAAAACTGTCAAATAACAACGTCAAATGTCATACGTGGTATCATTAGTAGTGGTGCAGAAAGTTTAAGTGACTACTACTAAAAGTACTAACAGAAACACGTTCAGCGTGTTGATAATCCTGACATATCATGCTTGGGTGGGGACAAAATGTTAACAGAGCAGTGCTGTCTGCTGCCGTCTTAACAAAGAGCTCCGGGATGTTTTCACTTCGAGTGTCTGTGCGCTACAGTTATTCTCCTGTGAGAATGCATTTTCACTTTGTAGGCGAGGTTTTCAGCTGCAGCTGGTTCTCCGGAGGAATCCATGCTTTCTCCAGGTGCAGCTTACTTTATCGACGTGCTTTCGTAATTGGTGACGTCAATTAGGTTGATGAATCGCCCCACCCCTACGTCATAATCATTGGTCATTTATAGATCTGTCATGATAATTAGGTTATGGTCTTATCAGGGTCAGCAAAAATGATTGAGGTCATATCCATGTATTGTACAGCATGATATTGCCCTTGTGTTTACATGCATGTTTAGAAGAATGTCACCAAAATTTTAGCTAATATGAAGCCAGAATAAACAGCAGGGTTTCCGACCAAAGCGCTAAAGCATTTTTTTTTTTTTTACAGCACCTAAGACGAGTGAACAAAAAGAAAAACTATGCTGAGACATGTGTCACTGTCATTTCTGATCAAATTAAAAGTTCATTGCTCTTTGCAACTGCATTATTAAGCTATTGTATTATCATTATATCAGTTTCATAACACGGGTCTTAACATTGACATTAATGTTGTTTGTTGAGGTTATTTCTAGTACTAAATATATTATCCACCAAAAGTGGCTATCATGACAGACCTAGTCATTTATTAAATATTTGTTAATGGTGTTCATAATCAATTTATTTGACTTAAGCAACTAATATGTTTCTCATATATCTTGACATCTAGCACTGTGGAGCATGGTTGGATGTCAAAGTTAACAGCAGCAGACCCAGAGGAGCCTCTGAGGACAGAATCACAGCCATGTTAATATGAAACCATAGCCATATGTTTCATGGCTCGATGTCAACAATGTTGCCTTGTTCTTTACGCATGGCTGTCATCACAAGTGTGACTAAGGGACTGTGTCAAAGAATCATGGAAATAAATTTGCATGGTGCACTTCATGTGTACATGTTCCTGTTTTTTTTTTCCCTTTGATTTGAATTTTTCTACTTAAATTTCAAATTTAAGACTATCATGTATACACTTTTCTTTTTCATGATCATACCTGTAAAACCTTTTTTCCCCTCACAGTTCTTGCATGATACTTTGCCCGCAGTCAGTTACAGTCTTGTGAGTATGCAATGTGAAAGGTGATTGTTGGTATGATCGCTCATACCACACTCACACTGATGACTTGGCCATGACAGGTGGGAGCTGTGCATATTTTCTGGGATAAACACACATATTTTCCGAATGCTTGCATTTATTTGTGACTTTGCAGGGTCATAAATTGAGGCATCACTTTACATCGCACATGTCTGTGGCAAATCCCAAGTTTGCATTTGAGAATTTCTTAAAAAAGTTAACTGCGAACAGAAACCCAAATAATCTGCTTAATATTAATATGAATAAAATACTGCTCGCTAAGCAACGTTGCAACAGCATCCCACCGCAGTAACTGCTGTGCACAAACACTATAGTTCCAGTTGCATAAGGTGATGGGCTTGGCAGGAGAATAGCATGACAGGTGTTTTTCCCGGCTGGCTCTGCTGGTGTGGCCGTTACAGGTGTGCTTTAGCAGCTGGGTTGGTCTGTATGCTGGAGGGTAAATTATATGGTGCAAGTAATAAAGACGATGCTTGTTATTTGGGTCTGGACAACATTATAGGTGTCAGTTGCAGGCATAAGTGATTTTTTTTCACTTAATTTACTCAGACGTTTGCAGATGCCGTTTATTGTTTGTGTGGATTTACTTACTTGATCTCATTTCTCTGTTCTTGTTATGTTTTTGTCGTGTATCTTTCTATGTGGCTGGCCTCATGTTCAGGTACACGACTGGTGAGTGCTGCCTCACTGAAGAAACTCCTCCAGTCTTGTCCACGACTCCTCCTCCTGGACGTCTCCTTCTGTTCGCAGATAGACATGCGGGTCGTTCAAGAGCTCTCCGGCCTCTTCCCCAATGTGGCCATCAAGAAGAGCTTCACTCAGTGACCCCAGCGCCGTCTCATTTCCCACAGTCCAGAGGAAGTAAGAGGAGAGAAGTGCTCGCCAGCAGATACTGCCCCAAAGTGAATAAGAGGCAGGTCAGATGCTGTAGGAGATTGCTGACCCGCCTGCATCTGTATCACAGACGAGATCTTCTTTTAGCGGATCAGTAAATACAGCAGTTGCGCTGGGTGAGGAGGTTCTTTGGATTAACTGTCTGAACACAAACAACCACAGACTTGCAGTCACAGGATTAAAGAACGTGAGACTTTTTAGTAGTTATGTTTTTTGGACACTTTAAATCAGGGTCGTTGCAGTAAAGCTGCTACATCTTCCCAGAATCTGAATCACCACTCATGTATTGCCAAGCAACACAAGGCTCGGAAATATGCCTTGGTACTGGGTGCAAAACACAAAACAAAAACATTTGTGAGCAATCCTCCTTTGAACATCTTGTCAGGACAACAAAAAGGGACAAAAAATGTGTGAAGCATACCCTTATTGGAAACTGTTGGAAAAGCTGCTGTAGGATTTGTTAGTCTCATATTTATTTTAGCTGGTAACATAATTACAGATCAGGGCCTTGGTCAGTGCCTTGTCAGAATGTGCAGCAATTATGCTGGCTGTTGGAATGCACAGGGGTCATTCTGAAGGCATCTGACAACATCAAGCCAGTTTGATTTAATTGTAAGAAATCATACTTGATGCTTTTGTGTTTGAAGGTATCAGGAGCTTTAAGGGTGAAAACAAAGGAGTGAACGGAGCCTTATTTCACACTGTGTTGTGTGGATTATGTCAACTTAAACCTTTAATGCAAGTATCACAAGTTATTTGTTGTGAAGAATCATACACAAGGATCTCAAGTTGAAAAGAAACACACCACAAACTGTTGTTGCACCTGAGATTCACTGTCATGTTTTCATTAGAAACATGTAAGAACTTGTGAAAAAACAGACTAACAGAGTAACATTTGTTTTAATTTACACATGAGCTATAAATGCAGAAGTAGAAAAAACACCCAGGGCATCAAATCAACAGACTGACTCATTTAGAATAAAGCACTGGGAAGTGACAGTCCAAAAATATACAGTTAACAATGATATCAACTGCAGCAAATCCTCACATTGGAGAAGCTGAAAAGTGACTGAAATTTAATACAATAATTAGTAAATTACCCAGTTTGCAATTAGTTGTCTGTCAGATAACTTAAAAGTTAATCAGCCAATCATTTCAGGTCTAATAAAAAAACTATGTCTAACGTAGCAAATCCATTAAAACATTTCTGATAGCATAATACTGAGAAGTCTGCAACCACAGCAAATGTGTTCCAGTTAAAGGTATACTATGCAGGATTTTACTAAAATGCGATGTATTCACTCCAAGACTGCCCCCTGAAAGTCAGAGATTCGAATCATCAGTTAGAGACCCCCTGCCAGTCTGTGTTCAGTGTACTTCTGGGGAGGCTTTGGCCCCCAGATTTGCTGAAGAGTGAGCGCTCTTCACTTTCACACTACTACAGGCAGCTGCAGACACAGAGGCAGCTGTCTTTCGCTGTTTACAGACAGTAACTTAGAATTCCTGCATAGTGTACCTTTATTGTTTCACTACATTTACCCTACAGATGGATATGATAATGATTTAGTAATTAGGAAAGAGCTTTATTTAAGATTGTGGCGTGGTAGGTGCCTTCTTTATCGACTATGACACAACAAGAACTACTTAAAACTTAACCTGAGACTTTGATTGGATTAGATCTGTAGATAACGTCACCAGATCCAATGTGCCTGATTCAGGTCAATTTCTGTTTTAAGTCTGCCCTTTAAATTAAACAGGGTGCTTCATTGTTTCCTTTTTGGTTATATAAGAACAGTTTACATTGGCCAAGTCAGGAAAAAAATCAGGTCAGGGTTTTAAGTCAGCCAAGGGCAAAGTAAAAGGTAATATTGGATTAATAACTGTGTTTGCTTACAGATCATTATTTTCATTCGTAATTGCTTGGCTGTGTAATTTTGAAGGAATAATGAGTGATTTTTGCCTCCAAAGATAAATGATTAAGTTCGAAAGTCACCAGTTCACAATGCTTTTGTGATGTTGCGTGCTTTTCCTGTTGTCTTTCACGCCAAGCTGTCTGTCACTGCTGTTTGACTACAGCCACCTATTTAGGTATTTACCTACCAAAATGAAGCTCCAATAGGAAGGAATACTGTGGAATAAGTTGAAGATAGTACGTTAAACGTTGTTAGATATTCTATGTGACCTCAGTATTTTGTCCTGAAACTCAGGGGTTTTAATATTTCATCTGGTTGTAATTTTTTTTTTTTTTTTACACATACTTAGCTCCAAAAACCAGCACAGCAGACATCTTTACAGAGCGCACTGAATCAGCTCTGAGGTTATCTGTCGTCAGTGTTGCTCTTAAACAACAAACACACATGAAACAAACGATCACTTAGCACTGATGTAAACGTTCTAGCTTATTGGGTTGCAGTAATTGTATGATTGTGAAAACATATTGCTGTCCGTGATTATTTAATTTTTTGTAATATATGAAGCCACAGTTGTAATGTGACAGAAGTGCTTACGAAGCATTTCTTTTTTGAAAGAAAAAAAACTTGAAGTTTTATTTTAAGCACATGCTACTGTACTAGTCAATATTTGTGCCTTATACTCCTGTTTGAATGTGGTGTGGTGTCCATGTGGTATAGATTGTAGTGAAGTGCTTTGCTTATACGCCCTTCAACCAAAGTAATACGCAGAAACCTGGTCTTTAATCCCACAACACTATATGACCAGTTTATACGCCATATACTCTATATCAGCCATGGTAATTATTATGCAAAATAATATTTATTTATACTTCCCTGTGTGATAAAAATGTTATGTAAACTCGTTATCCTTATATACACAAATAGTAACACACATTTGGGGAAAATCAGTGGTTTTGATTTTATTGCCCAAATGAGAGGAATGATATTAGTTTCATCTTACTGCATTCAGTTTGTCTGGCCTAACAGACCACAAAGAAGAAAGGGTAACACTTTACTTGAAGGTGTCATAACTATGACATGACACAGTCATGAACCTGTCATGAACATTATGTACATGTCTTAAACGTTTATGACTGCTGTCATTAAGTGTCATTCGGTTTTTGTAATGACAAGTTGACATTGTTTGGCTTGTCTTGATTATGACAACTTGACATTAATCAAAGTGGCATTACCAGAAGATCTCTTTGTCATGACAAGATGACATTAAATTTGTTTGGGATGTCCTTATTATGACAGCTTGACATTAACTAGGATGACATTACCAGAGGATGTCTTTGCCATAACAACTTGAAATGAACAAGAAATGCACTTCTTTTTGTGTTTATGACAAGTTGACATAATGATTATTATTGTTATGACAAAGACATCTTCTGGTAATGTCACTTTAATTAATGTCAAGTTGTCATAATCAAGACAACCCAAACAATGTCAACTTGTCATTACAAAAACCGAATGACACTTAGTGACAGCAGTCATAAACGTTTATGACATGTTCATAATGTTTATGACAAGTTCATGACAGTATCATGTCATAGTTATGACAGTGTCATGTCACCCTTATGTAGATACCTTCAAGTAAAGTGTTAGCAAAGAAAGTGAATTTTTGTCATAGCACTAAGCACAAGCAGCAAACCACAAAGAATGGAAGCAGAGGGAAACTGTTAACGTAGCACCGTCAACTGGAGAAAAAGTGGAGATAAAAATGTAAATGTTGAGCTTTGGTGCTGTGAATGTGAATATTGGGAGTGCCAGACAGGTTGTGAACACAGAACTCTAAAGTGAACAAGACACAAGGATCTAGTAGTGACTAGCTTGCTAACTACAGAGATACTTTGTGTGCATAAGTTGGTTTTGAAGCATATTATGTCTTTTCGCTTTTGAAAATGCACTGTAGCATGTGCTGTAGCCACCACTAAGAACACAGGTCATGTTCTTATTTTGGGGGAGGGGTTGGTATTTGAAAGACCTGAAATGACTTAATGTTCTGTGAATACACTCAAATTACATTTAGTTGTGTTTTTAAATCTTATTCTCATGATGTTTTAGAGGTAAAGGAGCTGTATGCGACATTAAGAGCTTATCTTTGATTTTGAGTTTGAGCTGTCTGCATGTGTGGGTCTTACCGTGGATATGGCTGAGCTGGCGGTTAGCAGCTAACAGTGCATACAGCTCCCTTAATATCTCTGAATGTGTTACTGTGAATCCTGGCTACAGTTTTGATGCTAGCAGTTACCCGCTTCCATTCTTTGTGCTAAGCTAGGTTAAACATGCCACCAAACAATCTTTGTCCTGAATGCCCAGATTTTAGATCGATATCAACCTTCTAATGTGAGCGTGGGTTTGATGGGAAACCCCACAGTGCTGGAGTGTCCCATTAAAATTGTACTTATGTTGAAATGTATATATTTTCAGTCTGCTTTGTGTTTTAAACAGAATGGGTGTGGTAACAGTGTGACACACCAGCCCTCCCATTCAGATGATGCAAGTATTACTTCAGTGAGTCGAAAGCAGGCAGTTAACAATGAAAGCTTATTCTAGCTGGGTGACTCTAAGCCAAGAAGTGCATCGACACATATGCCTGTCCCGCCCAAATCCAGGCAGTCAGTTTGAATATATTTTGAGATAATTATTTCTCAAATGACTATAGCAACACAGTGAAAACACTGACAATGTATAGTGTGTACAGCAACTATCTGCAACGGCATTTATTTAATAACAAAGACTATTTGAACATTCTCAGATGGTCACTGTCTGACTGATAGAGCAGTTTGGTTCAACACCTCCCGATGTTTGTGTTGTTTTAGCTCCCTACCTTGAGTGAGTGGAACGGCCCTGCTTTTCTCTAATGAATATGCATTCTCTTCTTCTCCTACTCTGGATGTGTGATCAACCTTTGTGCCATTGGTAGGATATGCAGTGATGCTCCCTGTGCTGCAGTGTGAAAGCCACTGTTGTGTGAAAAAGATTGTACCTCTGTCATGATGAAACTGGGTGCTTCACTTTCACCAGATTTTAAATAAACTGGAGGCTTACGACTGATGCAGCTCTGGGCTCTGTGTCTGTGTGGCTCCTTTTAATGCTCTCAGCTCCTCTGATCCTGGAAGGACATGGATATGATAGGAACCAGACGGTAACAACAAAGTGTGTACGTTGCTAGAATTGACTTGTTAATATTCAATTTTCCCTGTCTCTTTGGCTTCAGTGAACAGTGCATCATCGCTGGCAAACCAAATGAAAATTGTTTTATTGTATCGGGCTGAGGATTCATAGGTAAAGTTGTGTCGGTGTGATTGGGGAAAAAAACAGTCTCCACTAAGGGCTGCACGATATGAGGAAAATATGCGATAAAGAATATCAAGATCGTGATAGTACCTGCGATAAATTAACAGAATTAATGGGAAACTTTAGTCGTTTTGAGCCTGGACTCTACTTTCTAGGGCTGCACCCAACTCAGAAATATGAAGATTTGACAATATTTTTTGTTGTTTTAAAGTTTGAATAGGTTCAGCAAGACGCTTAGTGTGACAGCGTCATTTAAGTATTAGAGTAAACAAGCCAACTGCGTCAACGACAGGTCAGAAATGTGCAACATTTCTTGACAACATAGATGTCAAAACAAAAGCCAGAAACTGTCGCATTAAGTTGCAGTGAGCTGTCAGTTCACCATTTAGTAGCAGAAGAGAAGATGTTTTCTCAGAGCCTTTCTCTGTGCTGCTGCCTGCATGTTCACAGCTCCCTGTACAAGAGTAGCGTGAAAGTCAAGGGTGCTCACTCTGTAGCAAAATCTTAAGGACCAAAATGAGGTACACTGCACAGCACACTGACTAGTAAAAAAAAAATAAAAAAAAAACCTTGACTGCTTGACTTGACTTGATTCTCAGTTGACTGAGGGGTCTCTGACTGATTATTCGAATCTCTGACTTTCAAGGGGTAGCCCTTTTTGTGTCTAAGGGCGCATTCACACCAGGATAGTCCGGCGGACTCGATTTGATTGGGAGGGGAATGCTGAAAAATTTCACACTGTCATTTGGTTCGGTTCACTTTAACACTGCACTTTTTAAAGCGGACCAAACCGCCTGGACGTCACGCAGTTACAACAGCTGCTCATTTGGGGTATTGCCCGAAACTACCACTGACTAGGAAGAAAAAAAGCATGAGGAAGAAGAAAACCTGGCTCATCGATTGGCCAGGACCGAAAATGGAAATCCATCCCCTTCAGCCGGCTTGGTCACCACAAAAACAATGGAGCAACACCTAATTTATATCAATAAGCGCCTGCACCTCCTCCTCACTACTCTTGTTCCAACTTTTTCTTTTTTTTACCTCTGTTTCTCCTGGTTCGCTCTGTTGGCTTTGTTTGTTTTTTTCTACCCAAAATGCACTGCGCTCTAGGTCACTTCCTCTCTTTGGTTCATTTCTTCTTTTTGGCTTGCTGGATAGTCAAGCATTTCCCACTGTAAGCGAACCGCACCAGGGTTCACTTGCAAGTGAACTGAGACCCCCAGTTTTCAAGCGGACCAGGGTTCGCTCGTTTGTTCCACACCAGAGTCGGAATGAGCGTGCACACCACTCCAAACGAACGGAACTATCTGTGGAAGCGGACCAAATACCGCCAGTGTGAGTTACTAAATGAAACAGCAATTTTATGAAATAGGCCTGGTATTTTGACACTGCTGCAGTGAAACATGCAGCAATGTAATCCCTTCAGCCAACTTATTATAAGTGTGTGACAGCGTTACGAAAGGATCCTATGCAGAAATGAAATACTGTTCCTTATGTTTCACTATTCTGGCCTGTTTGTTATTGTGTGTAACCAGATCTCACTCAAAGAGAGGTCTCATTCTGAAGTCTCACTTTTCCACATTGTTGAAATCAGCTAAATATTCAGCCATGACACTGAAAATCTTTTAAATAACACTAAGCTACACTTTCTGTACTCCAACAGTAACATTCTTCCCAGCACTCCCCTCTCAAGCCCTTGCTAACGTTTCCAATGTTGTTATCACCTCTTATGA